TTAGGCAATGCCCTATTTTCTTGGCAAATTGGTGGCTTGCACCCCCCTAAATGGAAGTGCTTTAGAGACAGCCTGCCAACTTACGGAAGCTATTGTTGATTGGAGGTGGGGGTGCAGCAATAGAAATCAGTATGGTGTTATATTTGATAATGTGACAATGACATTCCTGGCATTATGCCATTGTTTTAATTATTATTGCGGAATCCCTGGCTTGACTGGCCCAAGTAGATTCTAGAGGCCTGCATGCATGTGACTTAATCAATTTCTGTAAAGAAAACGCTCTTTGCTAGGTGACTAACTGGCATATAAACTTCCTTAAAGCCAAGATCAATAAAAGTAATGTTGCAGTCATCTTCCTTTATTCTTTTATATGTAACATATATTAGGCTATATGATGAATTAAAAAGGCAAATAACAAAATACATTAGAGCTCAACAGTTTACATTTAATTTCAAGCTATAAACTTAACATAAATTTTTCTAAGAAAATAAACAACAATATTCATGCAGTACAGACCTTGTCCACACTCCCATATTGAGAATTAAGAATTTGAAAGACTTCCTCCTTTATCAGTCTGTATTTTAATAAATTACTTTATGCCTAAGAGTTCTTTCACAAGGCATATGAAACTGGGGCACACAACATCAAAAACAACCTTGGTTTATCTCTTTGTCCCAGACAACACCTTCATATAATGATTTATCTATATTAAGAGGTCCTATCAACATTAAGAGGTCATATCCCCTAAGATCCTATCAACATTTGCATCATCATCAACATTTGACCTTACAGCAACGGTCATCATCTTCTATATCATCTTATCAGTGAGTTTACCTTTTCCTCCAAATTTCTTATCTTTCTTTCACTGCCTACCCTCTTTTGCAAATGGCCAATAAAATGGACCCCCCCTAAGATCCTATGAAAAATCAAAATTCAGCCTTTCTTTTCATTCTCAATTCTAATTTCCCTTTCTGAATAGAAATCTTACCTAAAACTCGCAGTATGTGTATTTTTTTACATGTACCCCCTAAGATCCTATGAAAAATCTAAATTCAGCCTCTCTTTTCATTCTCAATTCGAATTATCCCGTTCTGAATAGAAATCTTATTTAAAACTCGCAGTATATGTATTTTTTTACCTGTACACCCTAAGATTCTAGGAAAAATCTAAATTCAGCCTTTCTTTTCATTCTCAATTCTAATTTCCCTTTCTGAATATAAATCTTACCTAAAACTCGCAGTATGTGTATTCTTTTACATGTACCCCCTAAGATCCTATGAAAAATCTAAATTCAGCCTCTCTTTTCATTCTCATTTCGAATTATCCCGTTCTGAATAGAAATCTTATCTAAAACTCGCAGTATATGTATTTTTTTACATCTACCCCCTAAGATCCTATGAAAAATCTAAATCCAGCCTCTCTTTTCATTCTCAATTCGAATTATCCCGTTCTGGATAGAAATCTTATCTAAAACTCGCAGTATATGTATTTTTCTACATGTACCCCCTAAGATTCTATTAAAAATCTAAATCCAGCCTCTCTTTTCATTCTCAATTCGAATTATCCCGTTCTGAATAGAAATCTTATCTAAAACTCGCAGTATATGTATTTTTTTACATGTACCCCCTAAGATTCTATGAAAAATCTAAATCCAGCCTCTCTTTTCATTCTCAATTTGAATCATCCCGTTTTGTATAGAAATCTAATCTAAAATTTGCAGTATATGTATTTGTTTACATGCACCCCCTAAGATCCTATGAAAAATCTAAATTCAGCCTCTCTTTCCATTCTGAACTCGAATTATCCCGTTCTTGATAGAAATCTTATCTAAAATTTGCAGTTTTGTGTATGCACGCGCGATGCCTAAGATCCGCTGCGACCTAACGCTAAACCTAGAGAGCACACGAGACAAGACGCCATGTTTTCACTCTGACCCTGATCTAATCTAATCTCTCAACTCTAATCCGAGGCTAGTATAAAATGGTTTATGCCTAATACATTACATTCTCCCTTTTCTTGAAATTGTCCTCTAGGGTTTCTATATGATTTTGTAAACATAACCAAACAAACAATAAATATAAACAATGTTCTTCAGCTTTAGTCCTTCAGCGTAGATGATAGTTCTTCAGTGTCCGCAAAAGTATATATGATATCCATTCATCAACAAAACAAATATATAATCTTCAAAGTTCCGGCTTCTTGATTATAATGAACATAACTAGTAGAACTCCAATGTGTTGCTCAATCAACATGTGCAAAGTCAATCAATAATTTTTCTATGGTTTATAAACAAGGAAATATGTCCACAAAACAAATATAGTAGAAATCAAGCTATTCAATTTAAAAATTCTTTGCCACTTTAAGAAATGTCAATTAAAAAATGGACCATGGTTCAGCAATGGGTCAGCAATGGTCAGGCCAAATTTTCATAAAACATCTCAAATTCAAAGAAAATAATTTTTCTATGGCTAAAAAACAAGGAAATATGTCCACAAAACAAATATAGTAGAAATCAAACTATTCAATTTAAAAATTCTTTGCCACTTTAAGAAATGTAAATTAAAAAATGGACCATGGTTCAGCAATGGGTCAGCAATGGTCAGGCCAAATTTTCATAAAACATCTCAAATTCAAAGAAAATAATTTTTCTATGGCTTTTTATTCAGTTTTTCTTCTTACGACTCCTTCTTATTGGAAATTTCTTCACTTGTACTTGTTCTTGAATGGCTGTTGGAACAGAATCTGGTACAAAAACTGGTGTTCTGTTGCCAATATCTTCTTGTATGTCTTCATTGCTTTGTTCATTCCAATGATCCTCAACAATTCCTTCCTTAAACCTATTTTCACTATTTTGATGCATGTCAGCATTATCACTTTCATGCAAACTAGAATTATTGTTTTCATTTAAGTATGGAGTGCTATTGGCATCATTAGCATTAGTGATTGCTCTATTCGGTCTGCGCTCGGAACGCGTTGGCCTTGCAACATTTTGCGCATTGTCAATTAAGAGTTCCTCTGCTAAGATGTCTTCCTCTTCATCTGTGTTGTATATGTTTTCCTTTTGAGGTACTGCTTGTCTGTTTGATTCACTCTCATTGTATTTCTTGAGATGATCTTTGTTCCTGTAAAATTTGTTTCCTCTTTCATTCTCTAGTAAAGCACTTTTCCTGTAGATCTTGATGACTTTGAATTTCTCATTTAACCAATTTGGAGATAATTTGTCATTTTTCCAGAGATCCTTTACTAGCACTGTGTCTTGTTCCTGAATTTCACTGTCTTTTGCATTCCTTTTGATGTCTGTGTAATTTTTCATTTTTCCTTTCTTTTCTCTGTCTTTCCTATCTAATTCTGTGTCTTGTGATTCATCCTTTGCATATTCTGGTATGTCATTCTTGATACCACGTCCAAAAAATACTGTAGCTGGGCACTGTCCTGTTGTTGCATGTGGGGTTGTTCTGCAGAGAGTAGAAACTTGTTCAGCTCTTCTCTCCAATCTTTTCCTTCTGTGTGTGCACATTGATTTGCCTTTTTGAGTGATCTGTTGAATCTTTCAACTTCACCGTTGACCCATGGTGAATACGGTGTCACATTCCTTAGCTTTATCCCATGTTGTTTGAGGTACTGTTTTAATTCGTCTGAAATGAACTGTTTTCCATTTTCAGCAACTAATTTGTGCACGTAACCAAACATAGAAAATATCTTATCTAATGCTTTGATTACAGTCTTTGTGTTGATAGTTTTGACTTGTGCAACTACTGGGTATCTTGATCTGTAGTCTATGAGTGCTATTAAGTAATCCTTTGTTGGATATGGTCCTTGAATGTCCAAAGCTACTGTGTGCCAATTTGTTGAGGGTATTTTTGTTACCTCAAGTGGTTCAAAATTGACTTTATTGGATCCTGTTACTTGACATGCATGGCAATGTTTTATCAAGTTTTCCACTTCTTGATCTATTCCTGGC